TTCTGTATGTGTTTGTTGTAAATGATAAGGCGCTGTGGATCAACCAACTCCAGACTTTCCCTCGGCCGGTTAATGCTTGCTGGCCGTGTTTGCTGACATTGTGTAAGTGTATCTCCCTTCTAGGTTTTTTAACAATTAGTGAAATTGGTAGGAAATTGTTGATGGGGGAAGTAGAGTAAGGGTTTTTAGTTGTGTTTTATTGGTTGTGATTTGCCTTGAGGAGAGAGTGATTTGAGTTTTCTTAGCACATTGGTGGAATTTGTTATCTTTTCTTGCAATTCTTGTTGTAGCCCTAGACTTTATCAGGAGTGATGTATTCTAATTTGAATGTTGTTATTAATTACTATCATCACTAAGACTTTCTTTTTTTCCCCAAACCATATGACAGAAAGGTAGAGTTCGAATCCTTAACCTTACCTGTAATATCGTCGCAACTCCCTTTTCCTGGCAACCTCACAGGGACCATAACCTTAGTTTTGATCTGTAATATATATGGTTCTCTTATGAAAAATCAATGCTATTTATCTTTCTTGATTTTATACTTTCAAATTTCATATAATAAATCAAATTGAATATAATTAGATACTACAATTTATTGTATATGTAACTTGACAAATCCATATGAACAGTTTATTGTGTTATTCTATGTGTAACTTGATGTGATTTTGTTGAATTGTCTTATCCCCAATCACTGACCGAATCAACCTAAATGTTGAGGTTTCCTTTAACATAACACTTTTGACGCACAAATCACCAACACAATCAACCTAAATATTAAGGTTTCCTTTTTACATAAATACTTCGACGCAGAAATCAATACTTGAATTGTCAACCATATTTTTTTTAATTAAAAGAGATTGTATCATAAAGTAAATCTAAAACCTTACTGATAAGAAAATAGTTTGCTCCTGAAGACAAGATTTTCAAAACTATAATTAGAAAAATCTTAGTCAAACGTTAGGCTAATTTTGAACAATTTAATACTGAATAGCCCGAGCCAAGATGTGACTGAACCAAACTATTTTACTATTTTACGATGTCATATCAGAAGCCTTCGGTATTGACTGGGCACCACTTTAAGAACTGATGGTCAATGAACGAGTAAAAACTGGGATCCACAAGAATGGCTATTAAAGTAGTTCTGCTTATATCATCGCAGTTGGTACTATAAATGTTACTGATAGAAGATGATTTGATCAGCTATCCAAATAACAGCAGCAAAATTAACTCTTCCGAGTTGTTTTAAGTATGACGGCCATTAATATCAAACAAAGTCGTAAAGCGTACATCAAGCCAAATTTCTATTAACAAGATTATTCATATTAACAACCAACAGAAATAAATTGGTCTTGGCTACCTCCCAAGCTCACGCCTTCTCAAGGAGTTTCTTTATATCCTTCTGTTGAATAAAGCAAGAAAAAAAGGCACGTCAAAAAATGATCAACGCTGTTTTTAAAATAGTCGAGAATAATATATTTGGACCATTGAAGGTTAACCTCAATGCTAAGAGGAGATGTGGTGGGAGCATAACGGTCAACAACTCGGCCCTCTTTGTCCACAAGGAATTTGGAGAAGTTCCATTTGATACTGTCCCCAAAAATGCTGCTTTTGATCGACTTCATGTACTTGTACACTGGGTCAGCATTCGGACCATTCACCTCGACCTATGTGCATAAATAATAATTTTTCTAACACATTTTGTAGCCACATTTACACGACAAAGCACAGAATATGAAATACAAATGTAATATGTAAGAAACAGAAATAATGTGATGTAGGGAAACATACGAATGGGAAAGATAAACAAACGAGATACTCTCTCGATAAAACTCACAATCTCTTATTTCATTCAAATATCAACTAATGAAAATAAACTAGAGGGAGTCCTTTATATAAGGCTCCTAACCCTAGACCTAACTTGTCCAACAAGACAAGAACTCTTATTAAATATTAAACAATTCATAACTTATTCTCGATGATGATGATTAGATATGTCTACACCATAATGTTTCTAGCTATAAAATCATAAAAGGCTATTTAAAGAAGAAAAAAAAAAAGAAGAAGAAAGAGTAACAGTCACAGTCTACGTTATTCTGGATTAGAGGTTAGATAGGAAAATTATAGATAAGCTTTTCAGTTTTTGCTACCTTGTCAAATACAGGATATTCAGCCTTGAACCGAGTGCATACGAATTCCTGAATTTCTTCATTGGTGCCAGGCTCTTGTGAGCCAAACTGATTGCAGGGAAATGCCAGTATCTCTAAACCTGAGTCATTTGACAATTACACATGCCTAGGTTTAGGAAAATCAATTATATAAATGAATAAAAGAAACATAATGTTGAATTGGAACTCGTTAACTTGATCATCAAGATTTTCATGCCTCAAAATTAGGGAGAGGAAAGCAAAACCATTTTTAATTTGCCAAAATCAAATGTTACATCAACAGGAGAAGTTAATTGGCTTAAACAAAACGAGAAATGTAAGCCAAAACAAAACCTTGGTCTTTGTACTTCTTGTATAATTGTGTCAGTTCAGTGTAATTTGAATTGGTCAGACCACTGCAGCAAAATGAGACGTATAAAATTCGTTTCAAAGAAGGATATAAAGAAAACAATATATTACTAATTTACTATAACCAAGCATAATTCACAAAGGAAGAGGAATTTCCAGTAAAATGCTAGCAAACATACTAAATGTGTTTGCTACATTAAGAGTTATGCACAAGTAATTAGACTTTCTTCAATATAGACATTGTGTTGGAAAGATAGAATTGATGAAACTTAACGAATCTCACCACATAAAAAACTAAGAGGAAGAATTAGACTTTCTTCAATATAGACATTGTGTTGGAAAGATAGAATTGATGAAACTTAACGAATCTCACCACACCATAGAATAAAAAACTAAGAGGAAGAAGCAAACGCTACATATCAGAGTTCAATCATGCTTGACAGCTGATTTATGATTAAAGCTCGAAGTACAAGAATCTTCATGTAAATATATCCAAATCAACTAAAGTTCATATTTTCACAAGATTATTCACTCCATTCATAACTGATTCTCAAGAGAGATAGCCAGGCATAAGTTGATACAATCGACCTTCAAAATCCACCGGCTGGCTACACTACACAGAGGCACAAATGTCAGTAAGCTTCATGCTAAACAATATTCTTCATTCCCTTAGCATAACCAACTTGGCTTGACGAAATTGAACTAAGTTTCACTTTGCATTCACGGTTTAAGAAAANAAAAAAAAAAAAAAAAAGACCTAGTATACAGAGAAGCTAATGCATACCATTGTGAAGCAACATTGACAATCAGCAAGACCTTGCCCTTATAAGTACCCAGATTGACATCATTGCCCTTAGCATCCTGCAAACCACCAAGTTTTAGACTACAATCCCTTCAAATTTCCCACAATGACGACATGGAATTAGAAAAACAGAAAAATAGCATTTTGGACGTATGCCCTAATCCCAAATCAGAAGAAAACTCCATTTATCGTTTTGCTAAAGCAGAATCAAGACGCAGAAACGGCACCGTTTCAGAAGATTCAAACTTTTCCGAATCAAAATCCATAACAATTGAACCGACAAGAAATTAACAGAAAACGTGATAATCTTATAGCAGAAAAATACCAAAATGATCGCTATTTCACCGTAAAAGAATCATAAAAGGCCAGGAAGCAATTAAACATCATAAATCTATGTCCAGAAAAGATGGGAAAAAATGATACCTTTACAGTGAATTCATGGATCGATTGGGGCGGGCTGGACTGGCTGGCCATATTATTATTTCTGATGTCTTATCTTCGATCGGCTGATAAAGGTTGGATAATTATGCAGTGGATCGAAATTGGTTCGCTTTATAAAAGGAGACTGCAATATCTCTTTGGTCGGTGAATTGAATTGCGCAAAAAAAGGCACATCTATATATATATATATATATAGGGGCTGGTTCAAATAAAAACTAGTCGTAGTGTGAGAACTGTTTTTTATGCTATTTTTAATTGTGTATGATGCTATTTTTCATATTAGATGATGCTATTATTTTTACAAGTGCTACCAGAAATTGTGTTGCTATTTTTAATAAAATTCATCCTAGTTAAAAATAGCATCAAACACAATCAATCATAGCACTACGCCCCAATAAAAATAATATATATATATAATTGCTAGCTAACTTCATTTAATAAAACATTTAATAAAAACATTTTCATTTTCCCTCCAAAAGAAATTATATTTTTTTAATTAATTACTCATTAATCTCACATTTAAGAAAGTTTTTTTTAATTAAACTTAATTAGTTAATGACTAAATTAAAAAAGTTTCTTTTAGTTAATCCAACATTTATGTTTCTTATTCTCATTTATATATATAAACGTGACAGTCATTATTGTTGTGCAGAAACTATATATTATTGACCGCATGTCGTTACACGGTAAATTTAAATTTATAATTTTTCCTAACTTACCCCTACTAACTAGTAGTAGTGGCGAGCAAGGGTCGATCCCACAGGGAGTGTGGTATAAACAGTGAATTTATTATATTAATTAGATTATAATAAAAATGGGGGGTTTGATTAGAAACGAAACTACTAACAAAAAGAGAAATTAAACTAGAAACTAGAAATAAATGACTAAAATGCAAATGATGATGAAATGGAAAATAAATAAAAATATTATGCAAAGATGAGAATGGAATCGGTTCCAGGTCAGTCTACACCCTCGAATAACTAGTCCAATTAATGCATTTATCAAATTTCACTCGTTTTCTAAAACTACCGGTCCTAGATAGCAACAAGCTCTGCTACCCGAATTTTCCCTTAATTTATACTTAATCGAAATAGGCTCTTCAATTAATTCTAACTAGCGAATAACTCGGAATAAGCTCTCCTAATTTAACCCACTAGCCACATTAAAATCTAGGAAAATAGACCGATCTAAGCCACAAACACATAAGCTCGGTTCATGTAACTTATGTTGTGCTATTCCTAACAATGCACGACTGTTAGTTGCTACAAACGAAATAAGAGCGACGACAATTACGGATCGAAGCCTCAAATCTAGCAATTAACATGCAATTCCTAACTTAGGTGATCAAGCTAAATTAAAAATCACACATTATGACATGAAACTAGAATAACACAAACAATTTTATACGACGAGTAAAACGAAATAAATAGCATTAATCAAACATAGTCATCGAAGGTTCAACGTCCCTAGAACCGAAATAAGTGTTTAGCTATACATAGCTAAATGATAAAAATAAAAATAATAATCCATGATCTTAAAATAAAATAAAAATAAATAAATAAACTCAAACTCCCTTAAGAACACAATAATCCACGGCCAAATTAATGCTTAGCAGCAAATAATTCTTCTTTGATCTCCTCCAAGCACTCACGAAAAGGTACCAGCATGCGCCCCCAAGCTTCTGTTTTTCCCTTCCGTCCCAAAAGTCTCAGAATAAAAAAATATTTTTCTTTTCCTATGCCCACGTAAAGTCTTCAAAATCAGAGACCCACAATAGCCCAATTCTCTAGCCTCTTTCCACGCAAATGATGAATGCAATGTAAATCCATGTAATATGAATGTCAAAGAGAAGACTTTAATTTGGAATGCATATCTCCAATGCAAATGATGAATGAAATGTAAATCCATGTAATATGAATGTCAAAAGAGAAGACTTTAATTTGGAATGCATATCTCCAATGCATCCCTTTCAAAAGATTAAAATAGGTTAAATTTTTTATGAATTGGCTTTCAAACACTCTTTGGAAAACTAGAAAGTGGGCTTCACATTTTGGATATTTAATGTCTCCATGTCAGCATAAAAGTGTTCATAACATTATGGATTGGAGAGTAATTTTTGTAATCACTTTATAATAACTTGATGATGTGGCTAACATTTTATTAAGTCAACATCACACATTGGAGATGCTCTTAGCACAATTCTTTTCCTCTCAATCAACATTGCAAGTCAGCAAAAGGATAATAGCCCCACAAATTCAAAGTCAGCCACTTATTAAATCCCAATTAATCCACGGTATTGCATGTTTCATTTGCCACCTCATCAGTGCCATATCATAAATAGGCATAATAACTGCAAAATAAACATAAAATCCAAATATTGGTGTATGTCCGTTCACAAGATAAAATACGTGATAAAACTTGTATATTAGACTAAAACTAAATATTTCAATTATAAATTAAACCCCAAAATAATACAAGATTTCTCACGTATCAATTATTATTTTTTATTTCATTATGAATTGAATAAGCAATTAAAGTTATAAAAAATATTAATAAATGTATTAATTACAAACATTATAATACATATCATGTTACATTACAATATAAAAATTGAAATTAATTTTTTTTAATTTAATTTTCAGCCATACTCAATCAAATATATAACTACAAAATGATAAGAAAGATTAGTTTCATAATTAAAATTAAAAATTTAGCTCACCAAATGGTAAAACCTTATAAATTAGTAGTATAGATACATTTAAATGACATATAATTTATAAACTTAGATTATACGCATAATAAGATGAATTATGAATTAAATAAATAAATTATTATTATAACACAATCTATATAATTATTATAGCAAAGTCTATATTGTCAATATTATCATTTAAAAAGTTCATTGAAAAAACATATGTATAAAAAAAATCCATATGATCATAATTAATAGTGCAAAATTAACATTCTTTGACTTTCTATTTGGTAGTAATAATAAAATATTTTATATTACTACTATTTAATAAAATGCATGATTTCTGCATATTTGATTATCGCAATCAACATTCTTTTTTTATAAATTAAAAAGTGTCTTGAATCAATTGTCTCTTATTTTTCATTAAAACAAAATAACTGTTGGCCGTGAAAAAAAACATTATTTCACAATTATAAATATAAAAATGATTAATTTTCATTAAACAATTTCTTTTTAAGAAAAAAGTGGCAGGACAAATTTTTGCATGATTATAGCATCAAAACATATCTAAAACATCAATATTTTAGTGCATTAAAAACATACTTTCAGCAACAGAAAAGTCATATTAAACGGAAATTGACAAAGTCAAAGAATGAGAATTGACAAGGCATTGTATGTAATGGCAGATTGTTGCATAATATGGAAATATCAACCATAATTAATAATCAACAAAAAAAAGTCAAATCTATATGAAAAAATCAAAATTAAAAACACAGCAAATTATGTGGTACATTATTGAACACTATACAATATAGAAAGAAAAATAATTTGATTTCTCTATCATTATCAACATATTCAACTTTTACCAAGACATCTGCCTTTATATTAAAATCGATTTTTTTGCGTAAAAGTTTTAAAAATAAAAATTCCTACAGACTCTTTTAAACATTAAACAAGAAATTCCTAATATGCGATAAATATATCTAAACAGATTTGTTATAAACTTACCTAATATTTCCAAATTTTGAACAAAATACTAAAAAATTTGAAAAACTTCGGCAAAAGGCTTTGAATAACTTCGAAAAGCGATTTTGAACAAGTGTTAGCAAAGCTTCATTTACTGATATGATGAGAAAGACGACAAAGAATTGAACTATTTAGTTCTCAAAATCTGAACAAAATACATAAAAGTTACATATGTATGTTATAAAAAAATATGAACAGATATGTTATAAACTTATATATATATATTTGTTAATAGAGTTGAACATATCTGTTAGAAACTTACATATTTTTTCAAACCCTGAACAAAATACATAAAAGTTTGAAAAAGTTCGACCAATGTCATGTTCTCTTTGAAAAACGATTTTGAAAAACATCTAAATAATTTCGAATTATGTATAAAATATAATATATCTTGAAGCTCATTCACAAAGAATTTCGGAAAACGACACAGATCATTGAAAATAATAAAAAATAAAAACTACGTTTAACAAAAAATATTTCAGCTCTTCATAGATTTGTAATATTATCACCCGATTTTGACCGACCTGTTAAGATTTAGCAACACAGATTAAGAAATCGGGACGAATATTTTATTTTTCGATCACTACTGTTGGTCACAAAAACAACATTTCTCGGATGTCTTTTTTTTTTCTTTTTTTAAATTTTTTAAGTCTTTACCGGGAGAAAATCTCCGGTAAAACAGTTGTTTTGTATTGAATATCGCCGAGTTTGTCGTAATATCGGGTTAAGGATTAGGGTTTCAGACAGAGTGAATAACGAGAGAAGCGCCGACATTAAACAAAAAAAACGGCTTACATCACTCTCAAGGAGTTTATCTCTATTTATAGTCATGTTATCACTGACATGTTTTATATTTGATTTTGGCTACCCTAAAAAATTAAGTGGACTCTAAACTAGCCCAAATTGCAACAAACTATGGTGATTTGTGTTGTGGATGGACATGTATTGTTTCTCATATTAACTTTATCTAATGTTGGCATGTTTCTACCAAAATCTATTTTCAATTATGAACAGCTATATGTCGTAATATCTAGCGTTAAGAACAGGCAGGGCTTGAAAGTTTTGTGCTGCGACAAGGATGAAAAAATGTAAAAGAGGAGCTCGGCCGGGTGGAAGGAGCTTTCTTTTTCTTCCACTACTCCCCAGCAGCAGTGTTCTAAAAATCGCTAGGCGCCCGCTAGGCGCTCGACCAGTGCCTAGCGCCTTATCTTTTCTTTTGCATCAGTCTTCTTTACAATTTTGCTCACAGGATCATCTATTTTTTTGCTAAAATTTCACATTAAAATACTGTAAGTCCCCGTGAAAGGTTTTTATAAGAATCTAGGTTCTGATTGTTTACTGAGTAACTATTTACCATGTAAATATATTTGTTCACCAAGTTAAAATCAAGGAGTGGTAGATTGTTTTGAGTATCTATACCTGCCTGTGTGGCTATCAAAATCTGTGATAGTAATCATCTGCTTGCTGCAAATTGGATAACTATTGAGTCAATTTGCAGGATTAGCGTGCGAAACTAAAATAATCGACTTCATTTATTGGTGCTAATTGAATTTGAGAACTTGACGCCTAGTGCACGAATTACCCAGTTCTGTGGGAATTTTGTTATGAGTTTAAAAGATTTTTTATTTTTTTAAGAGGGATTTGAACCCAAAAGCAGCAGTCGAAGGTGAAAAACTTCTGGCGGCATCTCTTTTAATGATCGAAACTTTAGTTTGTGAAATCATGCACCTCAAGGTATGACAGCCCATATTTTGTTTTATATGAATGTTTCTTAGATTTGTAGAGTGAAAAATTGTCAATATATATAGCTCACCTGCATATGTCTTTCCATGTCCTATGAGTTTAATCAAAATGATAACTCAACTTACTGTCCTGTTGTCTTATAAACATCCATCTTCAAAATACAGAATACAGAATCCGATGTTATTTTATTAAATCAGTTAATTTTATTACAACATAATGTTTCAACTCCCTAATACAAGGTTAACATCAAGTCTCGACCTTATAATTTCCCACCCATCTGCATATTATCCAGCACCTTAGGCCTCCTGTAATTCTTCAGCAATAGAGAGCTGCAAACCACACTAACTGAAGACGCCGCCATGGCCCCACCGGCCACCCACGGCGGCAGCCGAAAACCCGTCCACCGAAAAATAGCTCCGGCGGCCAGCGGGATAGCCAGGACATTGTACCCAAGTGCCCAGACATAATTTAGTCGAATTCGAGAAAATGTTTTTCTCGAGAGGTCAATAGCTGTCACCACATCTTCGACGTTGCTTGTCATTAGGACAACATCAGCAGCCTCGATTGCGATGTCTGTGCCTGCCCCAATCGCTATGCCCACGTCAGCAGCCGCCAGCGCTGGCGAGTCGTTTATGCCATCCCCCACCATGGCCACCGTTTTTCCGGCAGCCTGCCGGAAATTTTTTTCTTAGAATTATTGGGGAAAAAAAATGTACTTTTTAGTTTTTATTATATGTGGTTAAGATTCAAGTACCTGTAGTTCTTTCACTTTGTCTGCTTTGCTTTTGGGCTTAGCTTCTGCAATCACAGTACGTATGCCGACCTCTTTGGCAATTGCATTTGCAGTCCCTTTGTTGTCACCCGTCACTATCAAGCTATCGATTTTCATTGACTTAAGAATGGAAATTACTTGTCTTGCCTCGGGTTTTACTGGATCGGACACGGAAAGTATACCGTGAAGCTCGTTATCGATCGAAACAAGGATTCCAGTTTGAGCAGACTTTTCGGCTTCTGCCAGTATTTCTTCAGCATGCACTGGAATGGTTACGTTGTGATTCGACAATAGACTCTTATTCCCAACAAGGACTTGTTTGTTTCTAACGAGTGCCTTCACGCCGTCACCAGTTATGGACTGGAAATCACGGGCCTCGGGCCAAACAGGGTTCTGTTTGGCGAGACCGCAAGTTTTAGCATACTCGATGATGGCTTTGGCAAGTGGATGCTCGCTGTTCACCTGATAAATCAAAACATAATGCGAGTCGGACATGGAAAAAGTTAGTATAATCATAAAGAACAAGTTTACCTCAGCAGAAGCAGCTAGAGAGATAAATTCTTGAAGACTCATATCTTTCAAGAGCCTACAGCTGACTACCACTGGCTCACCAACAGTGAGAGTTCCCGTCTTGTCAAAAACTATGCAATTCACCTGCCACGTTACATGTAAACGAGTTACGTGAAATTATTCCACTTGCGATTGAGGCTTACTTGAGATTCTCTCATTTCATTTTTGCATGGTGTTTTCTGGTACTGTCAAAACTGAACAAGAAACACTAATTGCAATAAGAGAATATTTTTATAGGAGTTGATACAATTAACAGACCTTATAAGTAGTTTCTAACGCGCGGCCACCTTTGATGAGCACACCCTGAGTAGCACCCACACCTGTGGCCACCATAACAGCTGTTGGTGTAGCTAAACCAAGCGCACACGGGCAAGCTATCACCATAACCGATATCCCAAACTGAAGCGCGAGCTCGAACCCATTCATAGAAGACGGAATCAAAGATTTCGGGTACTGATTCAATTTCCCCGCACAAAACCACGCAAACCAAGTCGAAATCGATATAATTATTACCTGAAAATTATACAATATCCAAATAATCAACCATACTAATTGCTTTTAAGAAATCAAGACTTCTAATGTACACATACCATAGGAACAAAGAATTTCGAAACAAGATCAGCAAATTTCTGAACAGGGGCTTTCGACATCTGAGCAGACTCGACCAGCCGAAAAATTTGCGACAGGGCACTCTCCGGCCCCACCTTAGTCGCCTTAACATGAAGCACCCCATTCGCATTCAAAGTCCCTCCAATGACCATATTACCCTTTCGTTTTACCACCGGCTTCGATTCCCCCGTAATCATGCTTTCATTCACGTGACTCTGGCCCCACACAACAACCCCATCGCACGGTATCTTTGCCCCAGGCACAACTCTCAAGACATCGTTCTTTTGTATCAACCGACTCTCGATTTCTTGCTCGTTCAACAAATTCCCATCTCCGTCGAATGTTAACAGCGTGGCTTCTTGTGGGGACAAGTCCATTAGTTTCTCCATGGCCTCGGACGTTTTCCCCTTAGCTAAAACCTCTAAATATTTACCTAACAATATAAACGAGATGAGCATCGAGCTTGTCTCGAAGAAATCATTAGACTCGAACTTGGGAGAGAAAGCGGTTCTCAGAACCGAATAGATCGAATAAAAATAAGCCACGTTTGTTCCAAGGGCAATCAAGACATCCATATTTGCCGAGCCACGTCTCAATGCTTTATAAGCCCCGGTGTAAAATCTCCGGCCAATGATGAATTGGACGGGTGTGGTTAAAATCCACTTCAAAACCTGGCCAATGCTGAGGTTATTCAATATTTTCACGTCCAGGCCGTGATTGATACCGGGGATGTACATAAACACCATCGACATTAAAAAAACAGGAACTGTAAACAGCAAACTACAGAGGAAGCATCTGTAGTACTGTTTGATCTCGTCCTCTCGACGAGCTTCTTGTCCTTCTCTTTTGGAAAACATTGTTGCGTTAAACCCGCATGACTGAATGGTTCGGATAAAATTTCTGGGGCCCGTCAAATCGGGTTCATACAAAATCGACAACTTTTGAAGCTCTTTTTCGAAGTTGATTTCTTGAACACCTGGCAGTGACTTGAGAGAATTTGCAACAATGGTGATTGAATTTTCTGTTTCGAGGCCTTGTACATGTATTCGACAAACTAGTTGAGTGCTTGTCTTGTTTATGTCCTCCTCGATTAATTCGGCATCGAACCCTGCATCCTCAATCGCCTCACGGATGTTTTCCACCTGTGTTTTTTGGGCAAACATGAAATTTTTAAGCCTCTAAAATTGATTAACTTTCGTGCTACGTATCTTTAATATCTACTTCGACAGTTTTAAGCATAGTGATTGCAGTTACTGCTTATTCTACACACCTAACAGAACTACAAATGACTTTTTTTTTTTTTGGAACTCTTGCAAGAAAGTTATGCAATCCTCAATTTCTAGCTAGCTCGATTGACTTATTATTATACATGAACTCGAACACATCAGCTTTAAACTACAATGTATTATTACAATTCTACCTATACTCTTGCAGAAGCAAATTAAAATCTTGTTCCACTTAATTTCTTGTTTCATTTCACATTTCCTTCAATTGGATAAGCAACACTTGCATATGATTACATCTAGAAATCTCGATTAACTTATAAATGAACTCGAACACATCAACTTCAAACAATTTTTACACTTCTACCTATACTCTAATAAAGTACGGAATATTATCATATATCTCATCCCACTTTATATCTGTTTCATTGATTTCATGTTTTTCCTAATTGGATGAACAACATGTGCACATGATAATATCATATTTGTACACGTCTCATTAATCCAACATAATGAAACAGATACATGAAGAAGGAAATTTAATTTGTTCCAAAAGTGGTACCTTGGGTAGGTGAATACGTTTTAACCAATGATTGCTTTCTTTAAGTCTGATTATTTGTGAGGCAGATCCCACTCACTAGTAATCAAATCTTTATGATTGTTTAAAGTTATTACAAGAAATGGCAAATAATGTCGTCATATTACGAGTGTCCACTCAGCTTCCTAATTTACTAATTATTACACAAAACTTGATTGTTACATCTTACATGGTATACTCGCATTGTGCATGCAGATGTGGAGAGCATATCTACGTTTTTCACAAACAAATTAAAAAGTAGCTTCATACAGCTCTTTCAATTGCAACCACAAGCTCCTCCACACAATATTGGTATATTTTAAACACTAAAATAAAATGATTATCAGAAAATTTAAAATGTCATTTGCATATCTTATATTATTAATTTATTATTTTATTTAATCACTAACCTAACACAAAAATTTGGCAAATAGGGAACCACTAAGTTGGCCTATACACTAATTTAGCGCTCATCAAACTTATGCACGTTAAGAGTAACAAAAAATATCATGAAATTGGTACACTAACTTGTACAATTGACATTTTTTATGATTTTGAGTGTACCAAGTTTAAATTAAACTAGTGTATATTTTGTGGAAATACACTTTTTTAAAACGACTCGACCATTGATGGGTTGGTCATTCATACTTTTTTTATTACCAAAATTAAATATTCTTATTATAAAATTTATTTATGTTATTTTTGAGATTATTATGTAAGATTTCAGTTTGAAAATATATATATTCAATTTACACATATATATATATATATATATATATTTGCCTCACCGTAAGGCCGGTCTAAGTCTAACAGCGTACCCTTACTATTTTGAACAAAAGCCAACTCAATGGACTAAAGAGATCTTATATTAGGCCCGTCTAACAATTAGGTCGTCATTACTCTTCTCACATTATGCATATTTTTATTAAAAAATGTCATACTTTATAAAACATCACAAACATAAATACAACAAACAACAAAGTATTACTCGTCAAATGGTTATACTTGTTAACCAAGAATTTGTGAAAATGAAATCAAGGTCATAAAACTTCTTGCTATATACACCAATTAGAAACGCGACAGTGTATATAAATGAAGGCCTCAAATTAACAATACCTCTAATTAATTAATTAATTAATACGAAACTTACATTAACAAAAGCCGGACAAAAAACGACTAGCGCGCGGTGGTTTAGGACGTCCACCGCCGCCTCATTGATCCCCGGCAGCCGTCTGACGGCGGTCTCCACCGCGCCGGAGCAGGCGGAGCAGGTCATTCCGGTCACCGTGAATAAGGCCTTTGTTTCCGATATTGCTTGCGCACATTTTTCTTCGTCCGATGATAAGTTGCTGTTTTTGTTTCTGATGCAAGACAGTGACGTCAGCAGCCTTGCCGCCATTCTCATTTCCTCTACTCGTGTTTTTGTGTTTGTTTGCACGTTATTTTATTTTCTGGCGGTGGTTAAATAGAAATTGCGAGTCGTCATGGAGAGAGAGTATTGTGATTTGTGCGCCAACTTTTGAATGATTTACGAAAAAAGCCGAAAGCTTTTTGTGTATTGGTTTCTTAAAGTAATTTTAGTGGATTTAAAGCTCCCGATCACCGCTTTAGATTTATTACTATTGGGGATAAAATAATAATAGATACATAAAGAAGAAGAAGAAGAAAAGTAGTTTGCAGTTATTACAATTAAGGCAGCAGTCGGAATATAAGAGAGACAACTATTATTAACACTAAAAAATTTGATGAATTTGTAACGGAAATAGATTTTAATAATATTTCAACATCAATTTCAATGGATATTCCAAAATGTTATAATTTATTTTGTTAAAATATTTTGATAAAATTTCAACAAAAAAAAAAAAAAACGTTGGGATAAGTTTTCCTTTGGAACTTTTAGATTTTGATAAATCCAACAATAGATTTTTTAACGGTTCAACTATGAGTAAAATAAAAATTTCAATGGAAATTGCATATTACAACAGTAACTTTGCAAAAATTGTCATTGGAATCATCAAATTGCAACTAAAATTCTAATAGAAAATTTATTCAAATAGGTATTTTTATTGGAATTTCTGTCGGAATCATTCCACGGAAGCTATACTATTGAACCATTAAAATATTTTTTTTTTAATGGAACTAGTAATTTGTACATCAACAAATATAAATAATATATTATAAGTCATATTGTATTATGTTTAAAATTAAGAGTGATATAATTTACTAATTTAGCTCAACAACAATATGCTTTCACTCGGTATGGGCTCTTGTTACTATAATAATAGTAAAATATTTCAAGAGATATCTCAATATTATATTATAATAAGATTCCAATGGAATCTTAGTGGAAAGGAATACTAAGTATGGGGTTGGAACAAACTTATGTTGGATTACCACGAATTCAACTATAATTTTAAATGATTAGAGTAGTCTATAGAAAAAGCAACTCCATCAAAATTTAGGTATCCTAACAAAAAATTCTAAAACGATGACAAGTTGGAATTTAAAATCCAATGGATATTCTTGGTATATACGAACTTTGCATACATTTTTCGACTTGCTTAGCTGAAGAGTGTGTTTCCATGGAGTCAATTGGAGTGAATTTAAGAAAAGTGTAATTATGATAAATTTGGTGATAATTTCCTCTTAACCAAAGTCACGCATCGTTTGCTCCAAGCTCTCTTTTAATTGAAGACAAACACAACGCTGTTTAGAGCCATACCCATTGGGTCCTTAATTCACTCTTAAATACCAATTATATATATAAGTACAATGTTATGGAAATGCTACAAGTACATAGTAAATGTATATATAATACTCACATTGAGTGGGGTCCATTTAATTTTTTATGGAAAATGCTACAAGTACATAATAAATGTACATAGAGATATACATAATACTCACATGGAGTGAGATCCACTTGATTTTTTATTTTTGGTGAATCTCATTTAATGTGAGTGTTATGTACATGCATCTCTATGTACAATATGTACCTATAATATTTTTTTTTTTTATATGTCCCACTCAATTTGAATGTTATCACTATATATAATATTATGTACCTATAACATTTTTCTATTCGAAACACATCGAGAGAAAAGGAGGATAGGGTTGGAGTGGAGTGATGGACCGGAATTTGACCATCCCTATTTTAGTCAGCAACATGCTCTGGATATAAAAAATAATAATTTCTTATTTCCTATTATTTTATTTTAATCTGAAGCCGAAATTTAAGGTACAGAAATGCAATTATTGGTTAGACTTGATATTTATTTATGGACTTTGATGCTAGTGCATGTCACTGTAACTTTAGGATCTGGCCACAAATAATGCTCCTATGATGTGAGCATTGAAAATTGGATTAAGTAATATGGGACAAAGTTTTCCACTTTTGTTATTCAAATGTGATAAGGTATATGAGACCGATCACTAGAGCTCGTGTGATTTGAGAAAAGTTCAAGTGGTTCGAGTGGACCGCTAGCTCGATTAGGGGTCAAACAACATGAAGACTCAAGGTCGGCAATGTATCATGTCGATTAGAATCTCAAAGGTAAATTGGTTTAGCAACAGGTTAAGCTAAGGCTCCAAGATAATCTAGTGTAAACTCGACCTGGAAGTAGAGAGGTCGATGGAGGACCTCAAAGACAGACTGACTCAACAAAGACCAAAATAGTTAAATATAAAAGGAACTGAGTTGTTAGCTCAGCTATATGCCTAGAACAACTATCTAATGAGGCAGAGTAATGTAAACACATCATAGAAGAGCTAACTACAAACGCGATTAGGATAAAAATAACATGTGGATAACAAAATTGCTTGGGAAACAAGATTGAGCAATCTGGGCACTCGGGCAGCAAGATCGGACAAATTTTGGGCAATAAGGTAACAACTCTATATAAAGGGGGTGATGTATGATCATCATTCTCTCTACACTCTTTGAACATTCTAACTAATAAACATTTCATACATCATCACTCCTAAATACTAACTTAAGCATCGGAGCTTCTACGCTGAGACAACCTACCACGCTGTTTTGTAGTTCATTTCATCGGTTCAAGGAAGGTTCAAAGGACATCGAACCAGATTGAGGTTATTTTCACACCATTTGGCACAATTAATGGGTTTTTGTTCAAATAGCCATCAGATACCAGTCATGGCAAGCGATGATCCCAAAAAAAACTTTGAACCCAGCTTTGACGAGGCTTGGGTTTCCACCCGCTCGCTTGGAGCAGGCACAGTACCATCCGGCTTTTCAAGGTCCATTTTGACTCCAATAATTCTGATTCCAAACCTCTCGGGGTTTGGATGTGTCTCGGTGTCTGCAGCAATAACCAGTTGCCCAATTACCCACCATAGGGCAGATTGGGTGCGGAGGTGGTACCAGACTCACAAGATCCACCTCAAATGGATGGGAGAATACCACCAATAACAACTAGGAGATGTTCTAGCATGTGAGAAGGTCGTCACGCTCACAAAGGATGAGCTCAACTGGATGATAGCAGAGGTTGTGGCAGCCAGGTACGCTCAACCACATGTGTCGAGTGCAAGGAACCTCACTGTACTGACAAGGACGGAGGAGGTCAAAATTTCAAGCATCCCGGCCCAAGGAACTCAATGCGATGTGGCAGTTGATAGGATGACGGCTCAGATCCAAGAGTTACAGGCCAAGGTAGAAGAATAGAGGTAGAAGAATAGCGAGCTGGAGGGTGCTAGGACATTTTTTTCCTTGGAAGGTGCTCGAGGAAGAATTACCCAATGGTTTCAAAGAGCTTAGCTTCACTTATGATGGATCTTCTGACTTGTTCTGTCACTTGCAAAGCTTTGAACATATGGTAGTCTTACATGGATACACTGACGCAGTGAGGTGTAGAGCTTTTCTGGAGACCTTGCGGGGAGGAGCCTAAGATTGGTTCCACCAACTCGTCCCAGGGTCGGTAAGGGATTTTGAGGAATTTCGACCGTATTCCTCAACCAATTCGCCAGTGCCAGGTTCCAAGAGAAGACGTACCTCACATTGATGGAGATGTAGCAGCAAGAGAGAGAGTTTTTGAGGATCGATGTAGCTCATTATAAACGAGCCTATGTGGATGTGCCTTCAGCCTCTGAAGAGGTCAAGATGGAGGTTTGACGAGAGGGTTTGAGAGCAGGCCCATGTAGGAGCTCATTGGCAAAAAAAATCGGCGTTAATGTATGACAGATGTTCTGCAAAGGTGTGCTAAATACATTAATATGGAAGAGGCGAAGGTCGAGTTTGCGAAATTTGAAAAAACAATGAGGCCTGAATGTTTAAAGGACGTCAGACCGGATCGATTGTTTGCACACCAAAGTATTTTTTCTGAATGGTAACTATTGGCATGTATGACTTTTATTTTGGTTGAGTGATACTTAAGGCCGTCGAGTTTGTTTGCATTTATTTATTTATTTTTTTTACGAAACGATAGACTTCAATAATAGAAACACATATATACAGACTAGACAATAGCTAACACACACAAAACACTACAAACTAAAACAAGCTCCCACGAGTAGAGAATTACGGCTCCCAACAGGAGAATAAGGAGACAAACAAAAACCAAAAAATAAGAAAAACGCCTAAACCACACAAACAAAACAGAAAAAAAATGTCTAATACTTGGACTAAACTAAAGCCCTCTTCTCAGCTAGGAATAACCAGCACCGTCACAACTCGAGCCAACACCCAAAGCGACCCACCAAGAAGAAGTCACAAGTACACAGCTCAACACACCGGATCTAGAAACTCCCTACTGGCTTACTAGACCCGGCCAACAAACCCAAAAATCTCCTCCAGTACACTGATGAGCAAGTACAAAAATCTTCTAAGAGGGTGATTAATGTACAGTTTTTGATGAATTTATCAAATTAATTGATGAGTAAGTACAAGTAAGAATAAAATTTTATGCTGATTCATCAACCAACTCATCCCATCCACCAAAAACATAATCAATTCAACTCTACTCAACTATAATCCCTCTAATGGCAAGCCCATCCACCTCCCTAGGCCTCCTGTAATTCTTGAGCAGCAGCGAGCTGCACACCACGCTGACCGACGATGCCGCCATTGCCGCCCCAGCAACCCACGGCGGCAGCCGGAATCCGGTCGCCGGGAATAGTGCTCCGGCAGCCACAGGGATTCCAAGCACGTTATAGCCAAGGGCCCACAGGTAGTTGAGTCTGATGCGCAAGAAAGTCCTCCTCGAGAGATCGATGGCCGTGATGACATCTTCAAGGTTACTTTTCATCAGCATGACGTCAGCGGCCTCCACAGCGATGTCAGTGCCGGCCCCGATCGCCAGGCCGACGTTGGCGGCCACGAGCGCCGGCGAGTCGTTTATGCCGTCCCCCACCATTGCCACCACATTGCCTGCCGCCTGCGGAAATTACGAAATCGCCCTTGAGATTGTATTCATCATTCTTTTTAAAAAAAAAAAAATGCATAAAATAAAATTTGACCTGCAGTTCCTTGACTATCTCTGCTTTTTGCTCGGGCTTGGCTTCGGCAACTACACTGTCGATGCCGACTTCCTTAGCAATCGCGTTTGCAGTTCCCCAATTGTCACCAGTGACGACAATACTTCTGACTTTCATAGACT